GTTATTATTATATAATATTACCTTATATAAATAAGTCATTAATGTGGAGGATTCTAGAATATACTCCTCCACCTATAAATAGATACTTTGTATTCCTTTCTTATTCATTCAATCAAAAGACATTCTATATTATTTTTACACGTACGAATAAATATCGAATTCAACCAAAAAACCAAAAGTAAATTCGAGCGAACACTTGGGACCTTAAGGAAAGTTCAATTCTATCCCTGACGTACGAACGCTTGCCTCCTTAAGGAGATTTGAAAAGTATTTGATGATAAATCAAACCAAAACAAAATTATACGGTATACCCCGTACTAGTTCAAGTATTTTGAATCCAAAATTAGAACAAAACACACAATATTTGTAAACTTAGGCTAATCGCCCATCCAATTAGCATATTTAATGCTAAAACATTACAAATAAATAAAGACACAACCCTATGTGGCTATGTCTAATTATCAGGTCCTTGCCGTTGCATGGAGGGTAGGGTTTTTTTTAAGGTAAATAATTGATAACTCTAACTACAATACTTGATAAATAAATATAACTAATAAACTATTAAATATTACCCCCTCCGTCCTCCAGTTTTTGTCCATTTTTGACTTTTAGAACTGTTCATCTAAGTACTTTGACTCATCAAATTCTCTCAATGTGTAAGCCTAAATATAGTCATGTGTGATCTTGTTTGATTTGTCTTAACATATAGATTATTAATATATAATTTCTATAATTTTTTAATATACAAATTACAAGATAAAATGGATTAAAGAAATGTATTGGATGGTGTGTAAAAATGAAAGTGGACAAATACTCTGGGACGGATGGAGTATAATATAACATCAATAACATATATTCCCACCCCTTAGAAAACCACCTTGTCCTCAAGGTGGAGGATCTCACTCATATTTTTAGACATATGAGAACATGTTGACCCAAAAAAGACATCCATTTGTTAACTAATCTTCAAGAAGCTTCTCAAGTGAACTATAGCGACATAAATAAGAGAGAAGACCAAACTTGTGTTGAATTGTGTTAAATATATTCTAAATTTATGTTATATTATTCTATATTTATTGTATATATCTTGTTTCCTATTATACTCTCCTACCTTACGTAGGGTTAGGAATACTTGTATATATAAACACATGTACTTTCACACAATGATTCAAGGAAAATTAACGCTCTTCATGGTATCAGAGCCCTATTCCTAAAACCCTAACTTCCCCCTTCGGCAGTCTCCCCCTCTAGCGCCGCCCTCCACCAACGTTCTCCTCATCCAGCGCTGCCGATCTCTCTTAGCGATCATCCCTCCAGCATAGCGCCGCCCTGCTCCTTGGCAAACTTTCTCGGCAATCTCCCCTCCTTCAGCAGCTGTCCCTCCAGCGCCGCACCTTCTTCGGCCCCAATCTTTCAGCGCCACAACTCTCTCTTCTCCTTCCCGATGTCCTCCACCGACAAAAATACTGAGAACTCAACCTCTTCCTCCTCTAATTCTTCTCATCTTGCCTTCACTACAATATCCAACGTCAAACTTCATGTCCCTATACAACTCAATTTCTCTCAACCCAACTACAAAAAGTGGAGCCAGCTATTCCTTCTTTTGGTGCACCGATTCACGTTGCATGGTTTTCTCTCTGGTTCGCTGAGGATGACGAGTGGTTCCAGCTTGACATCCTGATTCAAGGCTGGATCCTCTCCACTATTACTGACGAAGTTTCAGATCTGGTAATTTCTTCTACCTCTACTATCGCTGAGTTATGGCGTGTGATTCATGATCTGTTCCATGATAACAGATACGCTCGGGCAATGCAACTCGAGCACCAGTTCCACACCACGGTCAAGGGCACCATGGCTATGGCCACATATTGCCAGACTTTTGTTACGGGTGATACGAATAAAGCCCAAGGGGAAACCACAAGCGGGGCCCAAGCGGAGCAAGTCCGCATGGGGCGTCCACGAAGGAACGTCGGGCCACCCCGACGTTATTACGACTACGTTTGATATTTTTATTTTAATATTTCCCTTGTAACGTAGATTTTTCTAGGTGAGCGAATTATAAGCTCCTTCGAGGGTTTCTTTTCGGTTCTTTACCTCGATGCTTTTTTTGAACCGACAGGTTAGATAATTAATTAATTAGGGTTAGGGAATGCTTTCAATATAAAGCTACGGATGTCATCACATACGGCAAGCAATAATAGAACATCCTTCTCCCTACACCTCTTTTCTCTCTCAAAACCCTAAACCCTCTGCTAGGTTGTCGTGCGGCCAACTCGTGCGGCGGCCAGCCTTGTTACGTGCTACCCAAAGGCGTAACATCTGGTGCTTTCATTCGTCGATCTCCATGTCTTCCGCCGATCAACCCCATTCCTCTTTGACGTTAAACGACGTCATGCATGCTATTGAAGAGCTCGGCAAGGACTTGCAGGCAACGAAATCTCGTGTCGCAGAATTGGCGGATTCCAGACGCCATGCGTTCGGGGAAAATCAGCGCCCTTTTTCTGCCGGCCACTCCGGGTGGCGGCC